AGTGATGATGGCCACTGGTTTTTCTTTAGTTAGCTGATTGGTTCTTGCCATAATATGAATTTTAACAGTTGTCCAATAGGGCTGTCGGCTGTGTATTAACCTGACTTCTGCACAACACAACTGATGGTCCCAACCCCATTGATAAAGCAAGAAATTCCACTAATTAACCCTGATAAGGCACACCTGTCAAGTGGAAACCATTTCAGGTGACTACCTCTTGAAGCTCATAGAGAGAATGCCAAGAGTGTGCAAAGCAGTAATCAGAGCAAAGGGTGGCTATTTTGAAGAAACTAGAATATAAAACATGTTTTCAGTTATTTCACCTTTTTTTGTTAAGTACATAACTCCACATGTGTTCATTCATAGTTTTGATGCCTTCAGTGAGAATCTACAATGTAAATAGTCATGAAAATAAAGAAAACGCATTGAATGAGAAGGTGTGTCCAAACTTTTGGCCTGTACTGTAAGTGGACAAAAAAAGAATTAATGCAGGTTTAAGCATCATATTTAAAGGGTGAACCCCAACTCGTAATCTAAACAACCCTTTGAATGTCCTCACTAGTGTTGCAATGGTATGAGTTTTTCATGGTACTGTAACTGTCTCAGAAATATTGTGGATTCAGGGTATCACAGTATTCCAGAATTTATAATATTAGCAAATAGAATGACCCTTAAAGGAATGAAAACAGAGGGGTTATTTTTGGTTGAACAAAACTATAATTGAAACTTGAAACCATTTTGTGAATGGAAGTTTTTACACAAGAGCCACCGCAAGCCAAAGACAACCAAGTTCCTCAAAGCCAGAGAGAAGCCCCACATATAACCCAGAGCAGGGTCTGGCCTCCTCACCACCGCCAATGACTGGAAACTGTTCCCAGTCAGGATAACACCAACATAATCATTGTCTTAGACTCCACCAAGCAACTGATCATGCTAGAGCACACAGTACCCTAGGAAGAGCAAATGGAAGGGGCCAACAAGAGGATGTGCGCCAAGTACCAGGGGCTTGTGGAACAGTGCAGGGGGCAAGGCTGGCGATCTCGCTGTGAGCCTCTGGAGGGGGGCTGCAGACATTACTCTGCAAGGCGTTAACACTGCTAAGCATCACTGGGAGGCAAGGAGGAAGGCGAGTAAAGCTGCAACTGAAGCTGCATAAAAAGCCACAAGGGCGCTTTGGATCAAGAGGGCAGATCTATGGCCAAATGCTGCTGGGACACAGGCCGGAGTCTGATCAACTTTGGTCAAGTCGCCTGGATGAGGGTGGGATTTGTTGAAAGACCCGAAATACCTAATGATCCCAGGTCAAATCACTGATGATGTGTCCTGGCGCATTCATAGGATGTATCTTTCATCTGTGTAAAAAGTCTCCTCTTGGAAAATAACTAAAATAAAGGGGAGATTCAACGTCCAGTTCCAGTTTTTTCTTTCAATATTGTAAATAAGCAAATAAACACATTATAACCATCAACTTTTATATCACGCTATACCTTGAAACCGGTAAATCGCTGCAAACCTAGTCTTCACTCACACAGTGTCAAACTCAAACTGGTCCTCACAAAGATAGACATACAAGAGCTTTGCACACACAAAAGGCACTGGGCTTTACACAGCATGGAAATAAGGCTTACATGCATCTGTGCTCTACATGGTACGTAATCTGAATAGCTATGCCTTACACAACGTCTATTACACCATCGCTCTCTCTGTCTTACACAAATACACAGGCATGCAAGCATTTCTCTCTGTAACACACACACACGCACATCGTTATAATGGCATGTTAACCAGCCGTACATGTTTATCTTGATGCCTTACAGCATCTACATTTATTACACCTCCCCGTCTGCCCCCCTCCCTCCACACACACACACACACACACACACACACACACACACATAGATATACAAACACTAACCTCCCCCCTCCTGTGGATCTCATGGGAGTCCTGCCACACATTCTTTAGTGCACACTTCATTGTAGAAGTGATTCAGAGCAGCTCATGGCCAAATAAGACGAAAAGCCCTCAGCTCGATTTGCATCTGAGCAGTTTCTGCCCGGACATGACTGTTAGTGGATTTATAGACGCTGAAAGAACAAAGGGTTGTGACTCAGTGGAGCTGGATGCATTGACTAATATTTGACCAGTTGTAGATATGAAGTGCAAAGAATTAGCAACTGCATAAAAGATCATTTGTTTGCATAAAAGTATCCGAAGTTCGACGGGTTAAGGCAGCAATTCAATTCAATAGAACTTTATTTATCCCAAAGGTAATTCTTGTGTCAGAGAGTGCTTCAATTACAGTAACAACCCTTAACATTTATAAACATAATGTCCTGTTTATCAATTTAGTGTTACCTTTGATTTTTCATGAAAAATAATAGTGCAACTGTACCTTTTATTTTTAGAATTTCACAGTACTATTATACAGAATCTCCATGGAATCATGGCAAAGTGGAGGAAATACTCAGAACTTTAACTTTTAGGAACACTTCGGCCACAAAATGACCATTTGTAAATCAGTCAGTGCGTTTACATGCACAGCTTAGTCAAGGTACAGTTGTAGCTCGACTAGGTCATTTAAATGGAGTACTGTCCTCGTCCCAGTATACAAGGTAAAGGTGGAGCTCATTTTAATGACTTTATATACTGCTGGGTAGTTTCATCTGTAAGAACACATCATCATTTATTTGATTATTATTGTTTGTATTAATTATCTGAATCGGCAAACTATTAAATCAAGAGCTTTCGATTTACTGGTCCATCTACGTCCCAACCCTCACCTGTGGTCATGAGCTCTGGGTAGTGACCGGAAGAATGAGGTCACAGATACAAGCGGCCAAAATGAGTTTCCTCTGTGGGGTGTCTGGGCTCAGCCTTAGAGATAGGGGGAGGAGCTCGGACATCCGGAAGGAGCTCGGAGTAGAGCCGCTGCTCCCTCACATCGAAAGGGGTCAGTTGAGGTGGTTCAGACTTCTGATCAGGATCCTCCTGGGCTCCTCCTGCTAGAGGTGTTCCAGGTATGTCCCACTGGTAGGAGGCCCCGGGGCAGACCCAGAACACGCTGGAGGGATTACATATCTCATCTGGCCTGGGAACACCTTGGGGTCCCCCAGGAGGAGCTGGGAAGCGTTGCTGGGGAGAGGGATGTCTGGGGTGCTTTACTTGGCCTGCTGCCCCCGCGACCCGTCCCTAGATAAGTGGATGAAAATGGAACATATTAGCTAAGTATACCAAATAAATGTAGTGGAATAAAAAGTACAATATTCCCTCAGAGATCTATCAGAGTAGAAGTATAAAGTAGCATAAAATGTAAATGCTCGGTTGAGGTGCAACTACTAAATATTTAAGTATGGTACTTGAGTAAATGTACTTTGTTTTATTTCACCACTGCAGACAGGTAATCCTGATGAGTGGATGAACACATGACAGCAGGAAAAAAACACTGTGTAGGAAAAACCATATGACAAACAGGAAAATAAAATCCCCTACAAAATAAAATGTCCCTATTACTGGCGACGCCTGTCTGTCTTACAGAAGTGCGTGGAATGAACTTCCTGTTGTGCATCAGGAATCTGCTGCGTCAAGTTGAACGCATAGAGACAGGAAAACACAGGAAACATATTTGACCTTCAGAATAAAAGCATAGTTATTTTATTAATGTGTTGACTGATGAGTTGTATTTAAATATATTAAGTAAATCAAGTAAAGTATAAGTACCTGTGAAATCTTTGCAAAATCTAGTTTCAATATCATTTTTTGACACAATGAGTCCCTGAGGTCTCCGAAACAATAGAGCTGAGCTTTGAAACTGCAGTCGCCTCTCTAGTATGAGCACACATACCTGACCTATTCTTATTCTCATTATACTGTGACCTTTCACATTCTTTGGTCCATATTTTGCATATTCTTGCACAAAATGTACGCCTCTGTCATTTTAAAATAAGTATATTGTAGATATTTGTATGCATCTGCACCAGCAATAGCCACAGCTGGAGGCATGTGGTCTGTACAAACAGATGTACGTCCATCCCATTCTCATGAACAAGATATCTCCCGAACGCACTGACAGAATTTTTCATCAAATTTGGCACAAACATCAACTTGGACACAACAATGAACTGATTTTGGTGGTCAAAGGTTAAATGTCACTGTGACCTTGTATCCTGTGCATTCTTGTGAAAGCAAAACCTCAAGAGGGCCTTCTGGGAATTCCCTCAAATTTGGCACAAACATCAACTTGGACTCAACGGTTAACTGATTAGAATTTGGTGGTCAAACATCGAAGGGCAAGGCTTACGAGGTGTGCGTCATAAAACATGTTTTCGTCCATAACTAAAGAAAATTAATGTGCTAATTATGATAAAATTTCATACAAATGTCTAACGGGATAAAATGATCATGTGAAGACATTTTATATCCGAAGGGTCAAAGGTCAACTTCACTGTGACATCATAATGTTCTGCATAAAACATTTCTCTGGTCATTAATCATCATCATATCTCAGACTGAACTGGTGACACTAATCTAGAAACTGTACTGATTGTACGCATCTTCTGTGCTGTCGGGTTGAAGATGTGTGTGAAGAGTCTATGTTTTCCATGTTCGAAGCATTGTCTACGGTCATGGCTCCACATGAGCCTGGACAGACATGGATGTAGTCTTTTGTTAAACTTTTTTCCCACATTCTAAACAAATTTTTGTATATGTTACTATTATTTATGTATATGTATGACTATTTATATGATTATGTTTATTGTTATTTACTAAAACTTCAAGGCAAAATCACTGTTTGTGAAAACCTACTATAACATGTAATTTATTTTGACTAAATTTAATTTTGTCTAAATATATTATGATAAACATTTTGTCTAAATTAAATTTAGGCCGTGTCTTCAGTTAGAAACACCTCCCAACCCTCGTGTGACTGATGCTTTTATTTTGAAGGGGATGAACAGGATGCGGTGTAGTCTTCAATGTAACCTGACGTCAGCTGGTGAAGTGACACTTCCACTGAGTCGCGGCCTCTCCCCTGGACCGTCCCCGTCTTTCTCCTGCTTTTATCGGCTAAAACAAGCTAACGGACCGCCGGACAGAACCGGACCGAACTCTGGGCTCTTCTCTTCGGCTGCGGTGTCTGACGGCGTCGGTAACACCGGAAACAGCGGCTTGTTAAACATTAAACACTTCCATGACGTACTTGTAGTGTGTGCGGTGATGGAGGAGAGCTGCTGTTAGATTTTAAATAAGTGTAAAGTGACTCGGACCGCAGCTCGTTAGCTAACATCACCGGATCACCTCCATCGGTGGTTTCCATCGCTTTAACCCGCAGCAGCAGCAGCCATGGCCGGGGGACGGACCGCTCTGCTTCTCCTGCTGTGTTCGTGTTTCCACCGCGGAGGATCCTTCAACCTGGATGTGGACAAACCGTCCGTGTTCTCCGGACCGGAGGGCAGCTACTTCGGCTTCTCGGTGGACTTCTTCAAGACCTCGGACAACCAGAAGTAAGAGGACGATGATGATGATGATGATGATGATGATGATGAAGAAGATCATGTTCTGTCTGAACCCTACTGGTCATTTATGATCAGTTTGTAATGATCGATTCCTTCATCACAACTAAAGTCTGATACTAAAGTTAAAGTATCAGATCTAAAGTGTAGAAACACTGTAACAAATAAAGTGCTGCATTCAAAGATTCACTCAAGTCAAAGTTCAATAACACAAAATATACTTAAGTTCTAAAAGTACAAGTACTCATTATGATGTATTAGATGTATTCATGCAGTCATGTGTTCATCAGGTTAATGTTGCAATTGGTAAAAGTGGAGCTCAGTTAAATAACTATATAGTGCTGGGTAGTGGGGTTGCAGCAATATACCGATATTAAGGTATGCCATGATAACCGAGGACATCACATTTTTGGTTTCCTGTTTCCTTATACTTGATTCTGCTGATCTTAGACCTGCTGTCCTCATTCATGGACACTTTTTTCGTGTCCAACAATCTCTATATCTCTGCCAAGTCAGTCTGATCACATTCGTGTCTGACACTTGTGTATTTATGATTAATAATGTTTGATAGGCTATGGCAACACATTTGACCAATTTTAGCAACAGTAACAAGCTAAGACACTGTTAATTAGGAAGTACTCCATTGAAGATATTGGGAGTTTATTATTGTCTTGTTTGAGGTCATTGGGACTTTACTGTTGTTGACAGTATTTTTTTTTTTATTCTCAGTGGGTCCTACTGATCCCAGTTAGCTCAGAGAAGTTAAAAATCCACATCAAACAAAAGTTAAGGTCTCAGGAGGATATAAAAGTTGACAGTTATTGTACCGTGTACATTTACTTATTTACAGTATTGCAATAAAAAAGCAACTGGATGGAGAATTTCACCTTTATTTTAATTATTTTCCAAGAGGAGACTTTTTACACTTACTTCCATTAACAAAAGTGGTTTCAAGTTTCAATTATAGTAGTGAGACTTTTGATTTCATTCCTTCGAGGGTCATTCTGACCGATAATAATAATGTTTCTGTGATATCGTGATACCGATAAACTGCAATACTCTCTGAGACCGTTATCATACCGTTGCAACACTACTTGGTAGTAAATAGTGTGTCGTGATGCCATTGCAGGTGTGCCATGGGATTATTAATGTAATTTTCAGTTGGGCCTATAAACAAATTTAATTTAAAAAACCTCCACGGAGAACCTATTTGTCACTGTTCGCATGTTGGAATTTTAAGTGTGTGACACATCAAAGCCCTGATTGGCAGCCAGTGTGAGGGATGATAACATTTAAAAGGAGAACACTGTGAGTGGGACAATGGATCGCTTTATTGTACGGAGCAAATTACAACAAAGCACCAGCAACAATGACCTACCACTGAAAGAGACAGTAGACAGTATCATGAAGCCACCCGTCTCACATTTTCCTATTTTTATTATTTTATGTTGTGGTATGTAATTTTATGTTTAATCTATAGGCTAATCTATAGCCATCTGTAAAGTTACCAAAGCTGTCAGACAATTGCAGTGCAGTAAAAAGTAAAATAATAACCTCTGAGATAACAGCCTACAAGTACCTCAGATCTGTACAAGACAAGTACTTAAAAAATGTTCTTCATTACATTCCACTACCACCTTTGTGATGGTGGTGATATTTGTATTTTCGGAAAAAAAGTCTTTAGCTTCATAAAAAGTTTTTAGTAAATGTGGCTAACAGTTTTCTGAAACTGTTTGTGATGGAAGATTTTACCCAAAGTGCTCATGTCCTCATTTCCATTTCTGTTGGAGTCTCAGTGGAATGTCTTTGTTACCATTATAACACTCATGATGTGTCTGCAGTTTTCCTCTTCTTGTTCCTGTCGAGTGTTTGTTTTTTAAAAGACACCAAAAACAGGCAGCTCATGATCTAAACCTCTTTTATTATGTAGCTTTATTCTTGTCACCAGTGTTAGATTCCCTTAAACTGTTCTCTAAAGTGTATCCTCAGTGCACAACATTGAGTTTAGTGAACCTAGTGATGTTAATATGACATCGTGCATCAGGTCACGTGACATGTTAATGTGCAGTTTTAAATGATGTGTGTGCTGCATATCAGGAGACAGAAAAGAAAGTTCATCCTGATAAAGAAGGTCATCTCCGTTTTTAAAATGTCACTTTCTTTTTTATTTTACTAATCAACATATTGAGTGGCACGCAGTAAAATATATTTAAAAATATTTGTCAGTTGGTAAAAAGCTGTAGTTAAAAAACCACATCCCTCTGAGATATACTGAAGAGTGACATGAGTTGTTGTTGTAATCTTCCTGACAGCCTAAAATAATCCGCTCCATCAGTCAATAAAACTGTCTCAGTCTGAATGAATCAGTGTCCATAAACTCCACAGTGTCAGACAGAGTGTAAACAGTTAACTGTTTTGTGTTTCGTGCGAAGTGTAATCCTCCGAACGGCCCTTTTGCTTTGTGGCCAAGTTAGGAATATAAATCCTGTTTCACTCTGCAAGTAAACAAAGACTTTCTATATTTCCTGGAGCTCTGCTCTGACCCTGCAGCATCACCGCCAGATAGTGTTTGATACAACAGAGCAACACTGACGTAATGATGCTGCAGATGGGCGATACATTAAAGGAAATCCTTAACATGAAGGGCCTTTTCACGCCTGAAAGTGTGAACCAAGTTCTGCTTTTTTGTGACATCAACTACATTCGATCCGGATAATAACGGAGACGAACTTCCTGGATCAATAACTGCAAGTGAAATGTTGCTAAAACACAAATGACTCTTCTTTCCAACCAAGACAATGAGCTACATGTCATTAAGACAGTCTGTTAGATAACATAATGAACAGATAACCATACTCCATATTGTACCGTATGTGATCAGCCGGCTGTGAGCCCAGTGAACAGGGACTGTCTATTAAGTGCAACGCTGAAAAGAAAAAGTATTGAGCTGTGGCTCAGAGGTAGAGTGGGTCGTCCACCAATCGGAAGACCAGTGGTTCGATCCAGCGTTGCCAGGTGTACGATAATTATCGTATTTGTACGATAATTTGGCCCTTTGTAAGATGTACGATCAGTAATCCCAAAAAAAGGCCAAATGTACGATAATTTGACCATTTCATGAGTGTGTGGTTGTAATCAGTATGCCAGAGTTTTTTGTGAGCCCTGAAGGCATCTGTTCCCATGTGACATGTTTCCAGCCAATCGCACTTTTCTTAGCGTGACATACGGGTGACGTTTGTCTCTGAACAATGAGCACGATTGGCTGAATGGTCAGCTGTACCCGCACCACGAGGCGCTAGGACCCGTCAGGAAGTCGAGCGAGAATGAGATTCAAAACAGAAGAAGAAGAAAAACAGAAGCAAGGAAAATGGGGGAAAAAAGTAAACCAATAAAGTAAACACTAGAGTGACTATATTTGCCTGTAGCGCATCAGTGGGATTGTTATTTTGGTTATGACGGGTATACGATAATTTCCCTCAAAATACGATAATTTTAAGTCTGTGGTACGATAATCCTACATTTCCCACCTGGCAACGCTGGTTCGATCCCTGGCTCCTCCAGTCTGCATGCCAAAGTATCCTTGAGCAAGACACTGAACCCCAAATTGCTCTCGATGGCTGTTCCATCAGTGTGTGAGTGTGTTAAAAACTGAGTAGCGTATGGCACCTTGTATGGTAGTCTCGGGCCACCAGAGCGTGAATGGGTGAATGTGACTCGTAGTGTAAAAAGTGCTTTGAGTGGTCAGATGACTAGAAAGGCACTATACAAATGCAGGTCCATTTACCATTTACCAAAATTTACTCTGAAACACTGCAGGTCACCAAATATTAACTTCACACTTTGCAAATTATTTTTATGTGCCTAATGTTTTATAATCACACCATTTAAATAAATCATTTGCTATTGTTATATTTTGTGAGTAAAATCTGAATCTGCAGTGTAACCAGTGACACATCTCAGTCAGGTAACTGTAGAATAATGTTTTCCTCTGGAGAAGAAGTCCATGTGAATGTCATCATGTGATCTCATTTTTGTGAATCATAGTCTCCAAACTTAACAAATCCCCCGTCTGATGATGTCACTTATTACATATATCTGTAACAACTCCCATCTTCACTCTGAGCTCTTCATCAACACACGTCTTTGTATGTTTTTAAGTCGTGTCGCGGCTCGAGGAATGGAAATGTTCATTTGTTGGTCTCGTCCCAGTAGGTTTATTTGTGTAACGTTTCGATCTAACAGACGTTACAATATGACACATTACATAACAGTTATACTGGTACAACAGTGAACAGTATTATACGGCAAACCTCCATCTCAGACCAAAGAATGTAAAGTGCAGATCTGATCTATCCCTTAATTCTCCTCTCCTCCCTCAGGTCAGATGTTCTCATTGGAGCTCCTCGGGCGAACACCTCCGGCGTTGTGGTGGAGAGGGGGGCGGTGTACAGCTGTCCCTGGAAGAGCTCAGCCTGCCAGCAGCTGCAGTTCGACAGCTCAGGTACCAAAAACTCTCTTTTATCTTTCACGTTATAGGGATGATGTTCAGAATTACAAAGATTTGGTTTTGTTCCTGCCTGGCTTACTGAGGCCCTGTTCTCCTACATAAAAACATTAACCCTCCACAACTACCGTCATCTGGTCGTTGGTTTCTTAAAGGTGACAGGGTGCATACACAGTACACAGGGTGGGGTGATGGTGGGGTCAGCAGGGACCCTGTGACCTCCTAGTTGGTTAATCTGGCCTCAGCTGCTGCCCTCCGTGAACAGTGAAACTACAACATGTTGAGGGTTCTGGAGTGAAGATAGGCAGACTGGGAGTATGATCGTATCAAGCTGGTTAAATTAATAATATTAAAACTCCAGATTGGTGTTCCAACAGCCCCTTTTACACTGCCTCTTCAAAATGGGAATTTCACGCTGTTACTCCGACTCACTGTTTTGTATTAAAGGTGCGATTGTGGAATGGCAGGACAGAGTTGTCTCGCCTTTAAGGCAGCTAATTTTACAGCCAAGATGTTTTCATACCTGAGCTCTTAAACCAGTTGGATTGTATCTATCTGTGGTTACACACATTTCTCTTTTGTGGTGATATTTTTGGCAGTGTAGCGTCCAGTAATTGCATACTGTAATATACACAGGAAATAGTATGAAATTACTGCATACTATTGAATAGTAAATGATCTGCAGCCTTTTTATTTTAAAAAGTTAACTACATTAATTAATTCATTTGAAAGCACCTTATGGTCTCCTGCCTGTGTGAGAATAATAAAATGAGGGGGAGGTGAAGTGCACTGCTGTGTTGTTTGCTGCGTTGCTTCGCCATTGTTAGCATCTAAAGTTGTGCGGTGTTGTGTCTGTGTCACTCTGCGGTTAAAGCTCCAAAACACTAGTTGACAATAATAGACAATTTCAAACACAAATACACAAATCGGCTTCACTATAACTCGCAGCATTCACAGACAAACACTTGTCTTTATCTGGACACATTTTCCCCACAAATACAACATGCTAATGTTATTAGCACAAGCCTATGGCATTTTACATTGTATAAATTAGCCTAGCAGCTAGGGGACTTTTCCTCTGCTCATATGAAGCCAGGGACAACAGCAACATTTGACAAAGGTAACGTTACACAATTTGGCTCTATTACAACTCACAAGGTTCACTGACAAAACAACTGTCTTATACTAAACACGTTTTCCCCACAAATACAAAATGCTAACGTTATTAGCACAAGCCTATGGTATTTTAAATTGTATAAATTAGCCTAGCGACAAGCAGAGATTTCCTCTGCCCGTATGAAGCCAGGATAAATCACACATAAGACTTTAAATGCTATTTTTGTGGAGGCTTTATTCTCTTCACAATTTATTGTTGATCTGTGAAATTAAAATAAATAAAAGCTTTGTTTCCACTGAGGGAAATGGTTTCAGCTTACAGAAACAGACAGGAGGTCTGCGTCATCGAGACGTGTAGTTACATTTCTGTGGAGGTGCACGTCAGGCTACGCCATAGCTATGGCGTAGATTCAGTGCAGAAGTATAAATTCCGCCTTAATGTCTCCACCACAGATGAAGTTGTTTAATACTGCAGCGTGTGTTGGTCAGCTGGTCTCTTTAGTTAACGTTACTGCTTATCGACACTCCACTCTGTCAACATTAGTCTCTGGGTGATGGCAGGAGAAAGTATTCACAATATAGTTTGTTTTTGTCTCTTAAATATAATCATAAAACAAACTTACAAATGCTGCCTTTTGTAAAGATAAAATACAAGTTTACTCCAGCATGTCAGCGCTGTAGACTGTCCGCATGCTGCTCTGCCCTCGCCTGTGACCGTTCATTTTAAATGTTGATTTGTGTGGAGACACAGCAGAGCTGCCATCATCAACCTGGTGTTAAGTTGATTCTGTCAGACGATGTCTTGACCACAAAGTAAGTAGTGTCGGGGTCACTTCTCAGAAGTTGGCTGTGATGCAGTTTGGTTTTCCTGTTTTGGTTTACTTAAAAGAGAATAAAGAAGAAGAGACTGAGCCCTTTTCATGTTCGGGTACAAAGAGACCTGGAGACATTGATGTGGACACAAGTTGTATTGACACAAAAACAGTATTTTAAATAAACCATGTGGTTCCATGTCGACACAGTCTGCTTCAGATAAAACAAATCTTATCAGACAGTTTACTCACTCAGCTCTCTGCTGGTTATCACTGACTGAATCTCCATCAGCGAGGCTACAAACAGACATTTCCTCCAGTAAAACCAGTAGAGGAATTTCACACTTCATTTCTCACCATGCTTGTCCAGTTAAACTGTTTTTAATGTGAAGCAGCAGGAAATATCAATCAGAGTCAATTACAAACAGTGACACTGGATTACAGGCTGCAGTGTTATAATATTTTATTTTAAATGATCAATATGTGCAGTACACACTTCTCAGATCAACAGAACAAAGATCCACAACAACACAGCAAAACAAGAAAAAACAACAACATGTTTACCCCAGACATCAAACATAAACTCAGAATCTTCATATCTGACTTGAACTTTGTGCCGTTTGGTGGTTGGATTGTATTTCAAAGTGATGATCGACGATGGGTTTTTCCTACACCAGTATAAAGGCAGTTAAATGATGAAACCTAAGATGGTGTAATACCTAGAATTTGTGCCCTCTTGTGCGTTTTGACATGTTTCTGGTTTAGCGCCCGCTGAGTCCATTAATCAGCACGAGTGACGAGTGAATTTTACAACCTTAGAAACAAATAGTTCAAGTCCATGATTATATTTGTTGAAGCCTTTATAAATTAGGGGTGTAACGATCCACCTATTGAGATCAGTGTATGTCATATAACCTTGACAGTTATTACTGAGCTGAATTTGATACTTTTGTTAAACGATGTTGTTGTTAATCTGTGTTTAATGGCTGTTGGTTTAAGTCACTGCATCTCCTGACAGAACAGCTCGGTTGAAGTTCATGCTGCATGCACGTTTTTTCAACCGAACATTGTTGAAACAGAGCAGCTACTGTTGCTGTAGTGAGAAGTTAGCAGAGTGAGATAATCGTCCAGGCAGGTACATCATGTCTTACCTCATAACAGCATTGTTTACATACGGCATGTGCTTTGTCTGTTGACCCATATTTTTTTGTCCATAATCTAAAATATTTCCAAACTGCTGATTTATTCCTGATTCAATAACGTTATTCTCATCATCTGTCTCTCAGCTGCTCGCATTTATCTGCCTGCTGCTGTTTGATGGTGACACAGAATTTCAAATGGTATGGCTATGATGATGGATATTCAGTATGGATCGATGTTTTCACTTTGCATCGATGATACTGGATAGTTGATCATTGAATTGATATATCGATCCAGATCCATGAATCACATGGTAACATCCCTAGTAACTAGTGTTGTCACGGTACCAAAATTGGGACCCACAGTACGATACCAGTGAAAGTATCATGGTTCTGCGTAGTATCACGATACCACAGCAAAAATGAGGCAGATGTGCCTTTTGTCATTTATGAAAAGATAAATCACTTTTCTATAATACATCAATGATATTTCAATGGAATAAATTACTTATTGACTTATTCATACTTCAAAAACAGCATCAATTAGTGATTAACATAGGGGGGATCAAAATAAAATAAATAAATAAAATAAAAATCAACCAGCCACACTCCTCCCCTGACAAGTAAAGAACAGTCCCTTCATAAGTAAAGAACAGTCCCTAAAGTGCGGTGAGTGTTTGTGGTCCGTTACCTGCCACAAAGAGAGAAATGTGAACAGCTCGTTTCTCCTCTAACACGCCACATTCTGTGTGCCGCCACGGCTCCGTTGTTCAGGTACTTCTGAGCAGTCATGACACCAACGAAGAAGAAATTATTGGACCTGGAGCCTGGCTTCTTGGTCGCCGGTAAACTGCGTTATCTTGCGGTGGCCATAGTGCTCCGCCGTATTCCTGTCTGTGACCCCCGTTCAACCCACAACCGGCAGGGTTCGCCTTTCGTTTCAGCTGCTGGTTGAAATCTGTACTCACACAGCGTGCTCCTGAATGATTTCTTTTGCTCGCACAAAACTATTTTTAGTCGCAAATGCAAGTACCGTAGTACTACGGTACTCCAACATTATGGTAAAATATGTACCGTGGTGTTTTAGTACTGCGGTCTACCGTTGGTACCAGTTTACCGTGCAACACTACTAGTAACCATGATTGGTTGATATGAAAACACAAACGATTGCAGAACTCTAGTACGAGTATCTTTTAACATTCACCATCTGAACCTTCAGCAGAATGATCAGGGCCAGACCACTTATTTATCACCAGGTGTCATTATCGTCCATCTGTCCTCAAACACACACAGTGAATGGCTGCAGCAGAAAAATGCAATAAACCGTTTTAAGTTTGATTTCATGAAAATCTTAAAGTTAAAGTATGAAAACTTTTAGATTTTATTTAAAACACAAATGAGAGTTAAGCTGACTGAAGCGTCTCTGACTGGAGGCCACTCTGATTTTCATCAGTAATAAGAGGCAGCAGCAGCTTTGCCAGCGTGCAGTAACAGAGGATTATTGATGGAGTAATAAGCTGAGCCTGCTGCTGGTGTCTCGTGTTGGGACACATTCAGGAATGTGTGGTGGAGCAGGAGGTGTCTGGACTCGTCCCTGGACTCCGTGAGGAGGTGAACTCCGGCTCTTTGTGTTCCTGCTGTGATGCCAACAGCTCTCAATGATAATAGTTATTTTATTTATTGTTTCAAGTTGTTGGGAGAGGATCAATGAAAGGAGACAGGAGCTGCAGCCTCGCTGTATCCCTGGAGATGTTCATACAGTTTATTCTTACAGAGACATTTGGCAGGATGTGTTAATGTCCTTCTTTTTAATAGCTTCCTAGAATTGTTCTAATTTCCTCTGTAGCACTTTCACTTTGCAGGAGTCTTTGTTAATTGGTCACATACAGACAATAACGCTTTTGGTTTTGTTCCAGTTCAATTTATTGAT